CTTTCATTATGTGTACCTGTGAGAATGTCTTAGTAGGAAGTGTAGCTCATCACTTTTCATTTTGGTTATGAGGCTTCAACTGTTGAAATGCTGGATGGTTGATTAAAGATTCACCCAGTTCTTTAACTGAGCTGGTCTATAGGGGTTTAAAGGCTTTGTTCTGAATGCATGATGAGTATAATCAAGAGGGAAATTATTGTCTGGGCTATAGCAGCAGTGACCAGAATAATTTCATCTCAAAGGTGAGATAAAACCAAGTCAAGGGCCAGAGATTTCCCCCAACTACTTTTGCTCAGTATTAGTGTTGATGCCATTCCCAGTGGCAGAAGACACCAAATCCATCTTGCAAATGCTGCTGCAGTGGGAAGAATAACTGAAAGGAAACATAAGGGGCAGTATGGAAGGCCTGGCACAGCCCAAATCTTTCAGATTTTAGTAGATTTGTGAGATAAAAGTTTTTAAAGTCCTTCTTACTGAAAATCTTTCTGAAAGATATTTATCTCATCTCCTCTCTTAGAGAGCAGCCCATGAGGGACATCTGATCCCTTAGGATTTGGAAGACTCAGGCCAACTGCATGAAATGTTAGTGTTTGCCATAATGAGACGTAAGAACAGAGGGACTGAAACTCTATTGATCCCAGGGCTGGCCCAAGGTCGTATTTTCAAATAATTCCTTGTTCTTTTGTAGAAAAGTCTGGTGATGAAAAATTCTGATTTATTTGGGAGAATTGATGATTTTGCTTCTGGTTACCATACAGTTTCCTAACCTTGTTCTCCAGAGACACCTGCCAGACTATTCCAAGGACCCTATGTCATTTCACACAGGAGCCTGAAATCAGATTTTTCCAAAGGTGTTTAAGCTGTAATAATAATTAATATTAGCACTTTAAGATAATACTTAAGAAACCAAGATGTTTGCCTTATATTGTTATTTTATAGGCAAGCAGAAAAATATCTGCTTTATATCTGAAGATACAAAGTTATAACCTTTCCTCCCATAAAAGTGTTCTGCATTTGTTTTCGGGTTTTGTCACCAGTAGGTGCACATCTGGCCCACATTAACTTAGCCTCTTGTCACATCCTAATTGTTCTTTCAGTTTAGA